GGACCCCCCCCCCCCAGTTTTCCAGAGAAAAAGGAAAGGAGGGGAGAAATTCTTTCAGTCTTGCAAGATTTTGTTACTGGAACCTTAAAGTAGAAATAAGGGTTAGCGCTCCTGGTTGTGCCTCTTGTCTGGATTACCTCGCAGGGCTAACTCCCACTCCTAGTCCAGCATCTTCCCTGGCTCTCTCATTGGCTGGATGCCTACCCCAGCTTTCCTTCAGGAGCTCAGGGAGACACAGAGAATGCTTACTCTGCCTTTTTTTTCCACCACAATCCTGTGAGGTAGGTTGGGCTGAGAGGGAGGGGTTAGCCCAAATTAGCCCAGAGGGAGCTTCTGTGGCTGGGTATGGATTTAAGTCTGGTCCACACCTGAACACCTGCCCTGGCTGGCTAGTTCTGAGGCTTTCTGGGGTCGGGAGCTGGTTTGCCAGGCAAGCTGCCATTTTCTCCTTGATTTCTCTCTGCTCCTCGATTTCTCTGCTTGATGGTGGGGATGGGGGAGGCCAACAGGGGGAAACTGCGGTGTCTTGCTGAGGGTCTTTGGCCTCTGCTTTGAAATCCTTAACTAAAAGGGCCACTGTCCCAGGGACAGGGCAGGGCTTCGGCAGACACTGTAGCCCCCGAGGAGATACAGAAGCACGGGCCATCAGAAATGCTGTAGATAGCAATGCCGGTTGGTTCAAGGTGGCCTACAGGATCAGTGCAACCCTTTTCCTGACTGAGACACGTGGCTTCATGAACACATTCCTAACATCTGATATATGTTTCCCTGCCCCCCTCCTTATCTACAGTCAGGGAACAACCCTGAGCTGAGGCTGAGCTAGCAGGCCAAACCGAGTCAGCACACTGCCATGCTCCAAGAGCATTCAAACCTTCTTCTCAGAGCTTGACCTTCTTGGGAGGGAGCCCCAGTGTAAGCATCCCTCCCTTATTTCTCTGCTGGGCCCTGTGGTGGTGGTGGTGGGGGGTTGTTGAACCTCTTCTGCAGCCAGTCTGCCTTTTTCTTTCATTAAATCACTGCACTTGTCCTCCAGGATCTGCGAAAGAGCTAATATGGTCTTTCTCGAGCAACAAGGCAAGGTCACTTACTTTCATACTTCACAATTTCCCTTGAGTTTCCACTCCAGTTGTCAAATCCGATGTTTTCACTCACATCATTTCCATGACATCTATCTCTCCATCAGCACTGCAAGCTGGCTTGTTCCTGTTGTCTGCAAACAGAGTCAAAGAAGTGAAGTCCAGACATAACTTCTTAAGGACATGATTGAATAGCTACATGCTCACGACCTATAGAAAACCCAACTATAGAACATTTGCCTCGCAGCCTTCCAAGATTCGCTCCCCCTTTATTTCTTGGGTGGGCAGTGCTTACCTCCTCTGTAGCTGTTGGCACACTTCTTGAGACAGCTTTGATCAGTGTGAAAAACAGTTTGGTGATCCAACCACTTTACAAGTGCATCTGTTACAGCTGTTGCTATTTGGTTTTTCTGGAAATGGTCTTCAGTCATTTGAACACGCTTACATCCTTAGTGGACTGCGACATCTCCCAAAATGAGGGCTCCACCCAAGTCCTGTGACAGGACGGGGGCTACGGTTGCATGGCCAAAGCCACCATTTGAACTGTCCCCAACAGTTCAGTGACCTGATATTAATCATACTGACAAATAATGTCCTGAGACTGAGTCTGACAGCAGGCTAGAGGTTGTGAGGGTCACCTGACTTGTGGACTTTTAGTACTTCCTCATCTCCTTTTTTTTAAAAAAGTAATGTTGAAAACTGTTGGTGAAACTGAAAACTAGCGCATGGTTTCGTATCGTTTTGGTTATTGCTTAACTTCAGTAAAGCTTTCCACAAAGTTTCCCATGAGATCTTAGTAGGGAAGATGGCAAAGTGTGCTGGATCAATTTGCAGATAACACAGAAAGATAGGGAAATAGCAAACATCTGAGAGAATATCATCATGATTTAAGAGGACCTTGTCAAGTTGGAACAATGTACAGGGTCTAGCAAGATGACTTTCAGTATGGACAAATGCAAAGTTGCACAACAAAGGCATAAGTACAGGATGAAAGGAGACACTAAGCAGTGATATGTGAAGAAATAATCCGAGTGTCTTGATGGATCACAAGATGCGCATGAGCCAAGAGTGTGATGCAGCTGCAAAAAAAAAAAAAGCAATACTGGGCTGTATAAACAGAAGTCTTGAGTCAAGATCAATAGAAGTTATTGTTCCTCTCTATACTGTGTTGGGCTGATTGCACCTAGAATTTTGCATTCAGTTCCAAGTACTGGCTTTGACAAACTTGAGTATGCCCAGAAGATAGCAACTAAGATGATAAGGAACTTGAAAGGAAAAAGACATTTATTTTTTTAGTCTGGAGAATAAAAAACTGCAGGGAGAGGTGATAGTATACTATACTTTCAAGTATCTGAAGGGCTACCATGAAGAGGTAGTTTCAGTGTTGATCCAGAAGATAGGACAAGAAGCAATGGGTTTAAATTACAAGGAATTTAATGTCCATTTTAGTTGGACATCAAGGAGAACTTTGTAATGATAAGAACTGTTTGATAATGGAACAGATTTCCTCAAGTGGTTGACTCTCCTATGCTGGAGTTGTTTAAACCAAGTCCAGGTGGGCATCTCTCAGGGATTGCCAAGGTCCCTTCCAACCCTTAGATGTTATGGTTCTATGAGTCTATTACCTGTGGATTTCCATTTTTTATCTACTTTGATGACATCATTAGCAGTCTTTTAAAATGATGCTTGGACATTCTGACCCCCAAAAGCCATTAAGTAAACCTGACAGAACCTGATTGATATAGCAAAGGAGGGTTTGTCACTCACCCCCAGATTTGTGTTCTGATTGAATTTGCACTGCACTGGATCACTTGGCCCAACAGAATATGGACAGCAGCCGAAAGCCTTGAGTGCTATCTGGGTCAACGGATTTTACTTTTTCACCAGATCTCCACAACCTGGATCGTAGTTCATGAATAGCACATGAATCCAGTGGGTGTAATCACTGTGGGTCTGCAGCTGCACCTCATTCTGGAAGAGCATCTGAGTATCTCTCCTGCCAATGGGTTCTCATTTCATTTGAGGAGAGGTTGAATTTCCACCCTGCTGTTCTCAGTTTTCTTTGTGCAAAGGAAGCCAATTACCAGCAGCTGGTGAAAATGAAAATGATTATTAATTTCAAACATAACATATGCTTTCTGTTAACAATCCTCCACAGTGTGGTGGTGGTGGGAGCAATCCAATCCAGATGGTGCTGCATGCAGTGGGAATGAGCAATGTGCACCACCACAGCGCCCCCATATTGGAAGAGGTTTCCCAGAGCTGGGATGGACACAAGGAGGCCGGATAATGGCCTGTTTTAGGCTGACATGTTTGTCTAACCTCCTTGCTGGGGGCTGAGTGAGGGTCTTCCACCTTTGCAGAGGGTACCCCTTCTTCCCAGTGACCAATCAGGCACTGCTTTCTCTGATTCCCAGAGCTGCCTCTCTTGGCCCCCTCGCCAGGTTGTTGGCTTGAAGATGATTTGCATATGACCTGCTGAAAGGACCACACACTCTTTGGCAAAGTTTTTCATAGAGAAGGAGGAAGTTGCTACAAGATGCCTGGTTTTATATGTTATGTTTTCATGGTTTCATGCAATTAGATAAGCCTCTGAGAGTCTTTGGAAGTAGGAAGTCACGGCATTAATCAATGCATACATTTCTGCTGAATCGGGGGGCACTGAAAGAAGAGTTGTCCAGTATTACTGCAGGTGATAATTCACCACTCTTCAGAAACGGGGATGGATGATCTCTTAGCTGCAGCCACCCCACCATCACATTTGTGAAATGACTCCATCATAACACAATCCAAGCCTATCACTGTAGTGGCGAGGCGTGTGAGTAAGGGTCCTCTTTCCTTCCCCCAGCCCCATCATCCTTCCAGGCCTGACCACAGTGTTGGCATTCCTGGTATGCAGCAGCAAACAGCAACCACGTATCAGCCCTGAGAGAAAGCAGACCCTCTGTGCATGTGCACTTCCATCCTTGGACTCTCAGAAATCAGTGCCATTCCTAGTCCAGGAATAGAATTGAGTTTGTTCCTCTTTCTCTGATGGAGGAAGGAAGCTCACTTTTGGGGCGCCAAAGGAGAGCAGACCCCAAACATTTTTTCAGCAAGGTACCAGATGGGCTGGGTGAGATTTGGTGCCTCTTGCTAGTGGCCTATGACTTGCTATCACCATTTTCCTCAGCTTCCCACTGCTTCAATCACCATCCTTTAGGTGGCCCTGTGAGGAGGGGAGTAATAGGCAAGACCTGGTCTCTCAAGACAGTAGACCTGCTGGGCCTTGCAAGGGTACGTGGTGGAGAAGACCAGCAGCCCCCATGGCAGGAGTTCTGAAGCTGGGACCTCTGTGGGTGAAGCAGATGTTCTCCACCTGAGTCTGGACCTTTCAGAGCAGGTCCCCATGCTCCATGGCAGACGTATCCTCCCATGTCCTTCTTTGATTTAGCAGCTGCAGCACTGACTAGCAATCCTGTGAAAAGGAAACAAGGCTCCAGCCAAGGCTTGGCTGCTTTCCACAAGAGTGGGTCAAAACATGCTTTCACAGGAGTAAGAAAAAAACACAGGTGCATTGCAAGGACACAGTATAACATTTTGGTCCATGACTTGGATAAGGGGATTGAGAGGGTGCTTGTTAAGCTTGCAAACAGCACATAACTCTGAGCCACCGAGAGTCACCCGTTGGGGGAGATGGGCGGCATACAAGTTTAAAAATAAATAAATAAATAAATAAATAAATAAATAAATACTGGGAGGGGTGGTGAACACTTTAGGGGAGAGAGAGAGATTCACAGAGATCCAGACAGGCTTTAGCAGTGGGCTGAATGAGCAGGGAGAAAGACCAAGTTTTGCACAAGTTGAAAAACCTTTTCAGAGATTTTTTGAAAATCTGCAAAAGTTTTCTACCTTTCTCTAGGGAGAAAAATGAAAGTCCAGGATGGGGAACCTGATGTTCAGTGGTACTTGTGAAAGGATCTGGTTGCACTTGTCAACCACAAGTCAACTATGAGCCAGCAGACGATGCAGCTGCTAAAAAAGGCAAATGCTCTTCTCGGGGGGCATGAACAGGAACACAAAGTCCAAATCCCAGGAGGTAATCTGGACCACCGGTGATCCCATTTGGAGTGCTGTATCCAGTTCTGGCCATTGCATTTTTCAAAGGATAGTAGCAAATTGGAGGGGGTTCCTAGGGGTTGACCAAGAGGGTGGAGGTTGGAAACCAAAAGCTATGAGGAAGAGTTAAAGGAGCTGTGCATGTTTAGCCTTGCCCAGAAAAGACGATTAAGGAGAGAGATGATAGCAATCTTAAATTTCTGAAATGTTATCACACGGAAGAAGGAGTAGATTTATTCTCTATTGTGCCAGAGGGTGGGACCAGAAACAAGGGGTTAAGATTATAAAGGTTGGATACCAGGAGGAAACTTATGATTTTTTGAGCTGGCATGAAGTGGTGAGTTTTCCTTTGCTGAAGATCTTCAAACGGGTGGGATAGTCATCTGCCAGAGGTCCTGCAGTGACTTCTACACTGAGGAGGAGTTTGGACTAAATGGCATCTGTGATTATCCTATAAAAGAAGTCCAGGTGGCCCATGGAAAAGACACATAATATTTGGATAATTTCTCATAGGGGTGAGCTCTCATTCATAGCTGGAAGTTGTGGGACTAAGCTTGGTGTCCATTAAATCCAGCTCTCATTCCACAGGCAGGTTTGCACTGTTCAGACCAAGGCTCAGCTCTGATGATCCTGAGTAGTTATTATCTGATGTTTGCTTGTGTTCTTCTTGACCTTAATCCAAACCTTCCCTACAGTTTCCAGAATTTCTAAACCTGAGGTTCATACAAGAAGTCAGTTGTGTGAGGTGAAAGCAGGGAAAAGCCCACTCAAAAGATAGTTGAATCTGAGCTGCTAAACTGTGAATTGCTCAGCTTTGGAAATGTTTGGATAATTTAATATATCAATTGAAAAATGGCATAAATACAATTTGGTCAGTAGTTGTTCTTGAAAAAATATCAGATAAAATTCATACTTTGAAGAAACAGGATGGCAAGCTGTCATTCCACAGGATCCAAAGGGTTTATATTTGGTTTATAAATGATATCAACCCCCAGGTTATGTGAAATACATAATATGATCTGTGATGATGCTAAACTGTCATTAAAACTTTAATAAATTTACTTTTTAAAAAACCCAAGCCCAGCCAGAGGTGGCAGGAAGGAGGACCTTGGACAGCTCCAAGCAGGCCCTGCTCACCGACTCGCCTGCCAGATGCCGCTCATCTGAGCACGTGGCCTGCGCAATGCCCAGGGATGCCTCGGACACAGGGGCTGAAATTTTACTTATTTAACTGATTTATTATGTTAGTGCCAAAGAGTTGCCTGTTGTTTACCACCGGACTCAGGTCAATAAAAACGCTATGCCTAGGCAAACTCTCCATACCTGGCTCAAGGGCGGTGCCCTCGTGAGGGGCTGCAGGCTGTGCCCTGCTTGGCTCCTTGGCAGTCAGGAGCAGCAACCGCCATCCTTCCTCACCTCAGGAGGATCCTGTCCTGCTTCAACAATCATAAGAGGCCTTTTCTTCCTGCAGGAGAAGCCTGCAGATTGCAAGGAGCTTTGGATAGGTCCCTGCAGGGGAAATAGGCTGAACCCATGGGAAATGGGCCCTTACCCCTTTCAGGCTCACGCCTCACTTCCTGCATCCCCACGCAACTTCCAGTCTGCCCTGAGACAAGCAGAGCAAGGAAAGGCGGAGAGAAGGCGCTTCCGCCTGCAGCCGGAAGACAGAGGGAAGTGCGGCTGCCTTCAGCCCGCTGCTTTTTGGCCTGTCCAGCAAGGGCAGAGGAGTGGCGGGCAGGCTGCCACCATCCACCAGCTCAGAGTTGCCCTCCTCTGGCCTCCATGTGTTTGCTAAAACCCTAGGGACGCCTTCAGACCCTCTTCCCTCCGTCTGCAGCTGTGGACCTCTTAGCTCCTCTTTCAGCAGTTCCTTTTATTTCCAGAAGCAGCTGAGGGACGACAGGGCAAAACGGCCATTGCTGTTGCCCCAGATAATGAATGCCAATTCTCCATAAACACCGGCCATAGCAGCCACTGAGAGCTGAGAATGGCACTGCTGACTACTACTGCCGCTCCTCTAGCTCTGCAGATAAGCAGCAAAAGATGCTTGGAGCCCCAACTTCCCAGCACCTCCTGTGCCAAATGCCTGCAATCCGGCGGTCCCTGCTGTGGACCCAACTGGAGGCAGAGTTCTGCTTCACGCAGGGCAGGCAAGGGCAGGGCTGCTTTTCTCAGGCCAAGGGCCAGAGAAAGATCCTATGAGAGAACAGAAAAGCTTCCTCCTCCTCGCCCTCCCCTGAAGACCCCAGGCAAAGTTGGAAAGGGCAGGAATGTTGGGGTGCCAGGAGGCAGGGAATAGTTCCTTAAAGCTCTGCCACCCTCCAGACAATCCCATCTACGAATGCTGTTTTCTGGCTGGGGTGAGCCCTGGCTTTACTTCAGGTGAAACTTTATTTATATTAGTGGCATGAGATTAAAACTAAATACTTGGGAAAGGAGCTTAACTAGTTACCTCCTAATTCTCTTCCATACTTGTGGTTTTGCTGTTCATTGTTTACTACTAGCATCCCCAATTTTTATGAATTGAATATAATGAGTTTAAAATAAAACAATAAATCAGGACTATATATGTGCAAACATTCAGTGGCAGTATCAATTCATAGATACTAAAACACACGTTGAAACTTTTTCCTGTTTTCCCCAGAAAAAGCACTCTGTAGAAGCTCTGCAGCTACGCCCTCCTTTTTCCCCTCTGTGTCCTCATACAAGAAGAGTTTTGTGATTTCTGTTGGTCTGGCCTCATGCTAGAAGCCTCCAGCCCACCCCTCCTTTAGCTGTAGAGCTTTCTTGGCCTGGCTGTCAGTAGTTAAAAAATAATGACAAATCACAAAACTCTCTAGTATGAGAGCATATAGAAAAAAAAGAAGGAAGGCCCACTTCCATGGCTTGAGTAAGACCTCTCTTCCTGCAAGCTACTGACAGCCAGGCCAAGAGAGCTGAATGCACCGTGCAGTCATCAAGTGCAAGGGCTGTGGGTTCAAATCGCCATAAGGGGTTGGACGCTGAACATCTAGCAGGGAGGACCCTTTACCTGAAGAGTCCCAATAAGATGAAACTGCTCATGTAGTCCCCTTCATGGATCACTGCCTTGTCGTGGCGAAGGGGCTTGCGTAACTCAGTGAAGCCATGAGGTATACCGTGCAGGGGCACCC